ATTTTGCCACAATGAAAAAGAAGCCCATCCTCTAACGCTGAACCCAGAAGCCCTAACTCTGTCTATGTGACTGACCCCAAGTGAATTATCCCTTTTCTTACAGTCTTCCCCACCATGCATTTCTGGAGCCATATATTTATAGTGTGTCCCTTAGACAACCGGAAGGAACCCCAACTGGTTTTATGCAAAAATTGAAGGAAAAGAGGCTCCTGGGTGGCTCAGTTGGTTAAGCATCTGCCTTCAGCTCAGGTCATGATCCCAAGGTCCTGGGATCGAGCCCCGCATGGGGCTCCCTGCTTGGAGGGGAGTTTGCTTCTCCCTCTCCCACTCCCCATGCTTATGTTTCCTCTCTCACTGTCAAATAAATAAAATCTTTCAAATTTTTTGAAAAAAAAAAAAATACCATTCAGTATCCTCCCAAAACTCTGAAGGAAGGAAGGAAGAACCATCTGCAAATTCATGATTTGTGCTTTAGTTTAAACTTTTATTCTCAAGACTAGTCAGTTGTTTAAGTTGGGTCTAGACTCTTAATTAAAGCTGACAGTTTGTTTACTGAGCCTCACTCTCCAGTGACAAACAGAGAACACAGGAGATTCTAAACAGCTATAAGACCCCAACACACTGGATATTCCCTTACCCATCAACAACTGGGCTTGGGCAAAGAGACAACACAGAAATGCAGCTTTCAGATTTGCTAATTGCTTTTCACCAGAACAGAGCTAACTATACATGATGCCTTTTTTTTTTTCAACATATCATTTTTATGCATTGTCTTAGTTTACCAAGTACACTCTACTCAGAGGGAGTATTAGGACAGTGGTGGAAAGGAGATCACTGTCCTAAAATGCAGGACTGTAAAGCAATCAATTTCTATCATCATTATGGCTGAGAATATTTAACAGGGTCAAATGCACAGTGGTTATTACTAGTATTATACCTTGTTTTATAGAGTTCTTTAGGTGTGCAAAGTGCTTTTCCATATGTCTTCTCCTTTAGATTATCCAAGTGCCTTTGTTTCTATGACTTCAGCACACTGTGAATTATCTTTAGCAAATTTTTCTCACCTGATCATCTTCTTATGTCACTCAACCAAGCAGGTATCAGCATTCCTTCATTGTAAGGAAGGCAGGCTTATTTTAATAACACTGAAGGCAAAATCCTAATCAGAAAAAAAATAAAATAAAAATCCCTTGTCAGTTCATGTGATTCTTGTTGAGCCAAACATCTGCTGTCTGTTTCTTGGAATGACGGTGTGCCCCATCCTATGGATATCTGAGAGGGGAACTGTATCTTGTACAGGTGTAAATCGTACGCAGGAACATGGCATGCTCACCGGGAAGGGAAGACTTTGGAAGAAAAGTCCCACTTAGCCTGGAAGTTAGATTTGATTCAGTAAGCCACAGTTGGGGAAGGCTGTGAAGGTGAACAAGACAGGGTCCCCGTCTCTTTTAATACAGGTTTTATCATCATTTAGGTACGGTCAGACCAACAGGTCAGGGGATGAGTGCCACTAAAACGATATTTTATTATACTTCCAGATCCCAGGTCACCCAGGAGGCAGAAAGATGAGGAAGACTGTGGACAAGAGCCTTTATTGTCATTCTCATAGGAAGGAAGAGTGAGGCAGGGCAAGCAGGCTGAGGCTGGCTAGGTTGAATAGATCCAGCAGGCTCTGGGACATAGGGGCTGCCCCTAGCTGTCTAGTACCTGGCTCTGGGGTAATTAGGACAGGGGGATAGTAGCCCAGAGTGTGAGACCCCAGTAAGGGAGATAACAGGGGGTGTGGTGTGGGCGCTAGATTAGTTGGTTTGCCTTTGAAAGGTACACTCCCAAATGAGTTGTTTACTGTCTCTAGGAATTGGCTAACCCTGGGAGGGTCAGTCCCTCCAGAGTCCACAACGCTTCAGAATACAGAAATTAAAGACCTGGTTAATACATGCCCTCCAGGGGCTGATGTTCTAGTGTGGTGAGCAGCCAAAGAAACTGCAACCGGGACCAAATCTCCAGGCCCCGGTTCCAACTCTAAGAGGAGGAGTTTGGACCATGCACATGAGATTTCTTTAAAGCCCCCCCACCTGTGAGTTCAAGAAATAGTTGAAATAATTAAATACAGCACGGAAGTCACAAATGCTGTAAGACAATTGAATGCTCTGGGAGGAAAAGGAAAAGATGGAAAAATGAAAATGGGGTGGTTTGGAAGGGAAACACAGATGTTGGCTCGGGGGTCAGCTGAGGAAGGTGACAGCAGATAGGCTGGCTGGTGGGAGATCCCTCTTCCCAGGGACACCAGGCAGAAACAAGAGTTGGAGCAGAAATTCTGAATGGAGACAATTTTGCCCCCCCTGCCCCAGGGGACATTTGGTGAGTCTGGTGACACATTTTTGGTTGTCATAAATTGGGAGGGGGGGCTGCTGTTGGCGTAAAGTGATGGGAGGCCAAAATGCTGCTGAACTCCATGTGTCTTGGCGCCACTCGGGACCTGGTCTGGAGGCAGAAGAGAAAGACCTGGGACAGTTGTTGTTGGGCACGTGGTTCTCTCCAAACCCCTGGTCCCATTAAACCAGAGGGCTGCATAGAGACAGTGCTCTCTCTCCTGATGCCCGCTTCGATTTCATGAAAGACACTGTGCATGGGGTTTGTTGAGGATTGCTTTTTTGTATAAGCCAAGTTTTAAGTTTTTATAAAGTCAGATCTGTCTTATATTTTCTCTTATGACTTCTTCTTACCCTTCTGAATTTTAAAAAGTCCTTTGCATACACTCTTCATACCTCATCAAAGATTTGATAAATATTCTCTTCCATTTTCTCACCGGTTTCTTATGGGATCCCTTCCTTAAATGGGTACCTCTGCAATTTAGTCTTTTTCAGAGGGTTCTAGAAGTGTTCTCAGAGATAATATGGCTTTAGGAATTCCAGTGATAAATATTTTATATTAATGACGTTGCGTTCTTTTCAAATGCCATCTAATCCCTATATCAAACATGTATTTTCACAGATGGCATTGCTTAGGATCAGGGGTTTTCAAAGATGAGTCAGTTTTAAAACTTAAGGAAGTAATGTTGTGTGTGAGTGATAAAACATGGTGAACTGGTGGTAAGAGAATAGCTGGCATTTAGGAAACACTAGTTAAATCACTTGAGATCATTTTGATGTATAGACTAATGTAATACTCAACTGATTCCCCTTTGCCTCACCTCCAGGTTGTTAACCAACTACTCCAAACCGTTTACTGAGTTTCTCATTGATCATGATTTTTTAAAGTCATATATCAATTCTTATATGAAGTCTTTCTGGATGATCTTTTTTGTTCCATTAACCTTTCATTAGCCTTGAGCTATTACCACACTTTTAATTACTGCACTTGACTGAGTATTTGGCCCCACAGGTCTTCCCTCCCTGCGAAGAGTACTGATTTTGAGGACAGGGGTCAGGATGGGGGGATGTGCAAGGTCAGTGACATGTGGACAGCAGTACACCCAGGAAAGCCCATGGGGTTTGATCTGAGTAGATGTAGTTACAGGTCCAGAGCTGGCCCGATATTCCCAGACCCCTGAGTTAAAAATGCCAAAGCAGAGCTCTGTCTTCCCAGGGAGAGACAAGGAGGGACAAAAAGGAAATACTAGACATTGATTTAAAATGTGAAGAACCAATGACATTCCATGCAGTCAAGAACTAGACCGGAAGGGATGGAAATTGGAGACCTGAGGAAAGACCTAAGGGAGGAGGCTCTGGGCAGGACATAGCATACTTCCTGTTGTCGGACTGTCTGGCTGTGAAGTGGGAGAATGTTGCCTGATGCCAAATAATGCTGAAAAGATGTTTCAGTCCATCAGGAAAAGGCATATATGTTTTCACACACATGCATACACAAAACCCACACACAGCGTTATAACTACAGATAAGGTAACCCTAAAGAAAGCAGACAGAAAAATCCGGACTCAACAGTGTAGAGACAGGCATTCACTTCCCCCAAAAAGTTCTCATTAAATCACAGGATCCCTTGAAACATACAGCTTCACCAGTGATTTAATCGTTTCTCTGGAGTGCTCCAACACCCTGATGGAAAAGCTAGATGGAAGTTTAGAAATGAGAAAAGTGTGAAGAAAGAGCTCCTCCACCACACATCCTATAAATCAGTGGGAGAAAAAAATATTCAATTTAATAAAAATAATTAGTCTCACAACTTTTTAAAAACACACAGAGAGCACAGAGTGGACTAGGTACTGAGGGTAGATGGATTCATCTCTTCCCTGGCCCTGTGTGATAGCAAAGCAGGGTGACACTTCATGGCCCTAGAGGCCTCCTTCAGAATGGAATTTTCCAGAAGGAATAGGTGGTGGGGCTGGAAAGAGCCCTAGAAGGTTTCTACTCCAAAAACCTATATTCTAGAGGAAGAAGCAAACGACCCTATTAATCACCCATCTCCTGCTCCTTGCCCCCAACAAAGTGACACCACTTATTTTTCCTGCCACCAAGAAAGCAAATCATTATCACATTCAGTCTTCTGTTGAACTTCTGGTGTCTCAGGTTTAGAATGTGAGGGACAACATCCTAAAACGTGAGTGAGAGCAAGAGAAGACCAGGGGCAGATGCTGAATCATGCTAGAGTGAAGGCCAAGTCATGCTAAAACATGCTAGAGCAGATGCTGAGTCATGCTAGAGCAGATGCTGAGTCATGCTGAGTCATGCTGAGGGATTAACTAGGGGAGATTCATCTCAAAGAAGTTAGTCTCAAGACTCAAATGATCTCAAGTGGAAACACTCCTACGAATTGAAACAGTGTTCAAGTGGCGGGGGGGTGGGGATCTGGGAGGCCTACTTCCCTGTAAAATGCTTGGGTCTGTGGCTGTGCCAGGATGTTGCTCACTCTGGAGAATCCAGAGTGAGATCTCATCCTCCCTCTACGGTTCTCCAGGCAGGCTGCAGGATCTCCTGGTGATTGAAGAGGGCTTTCGGAAGAAGAGCTGGATTTATAAATAATGCATTTCCTTTGTCTTGCAGGGATTCTGGAGGGAGAGGTACAATCAGATCAGCTGTGAACAGCTTACATAGCAAATCTAATAGGTTTGTAAATTAGATTTTGTGTTCATTTGTTTTTGCTGTAAGGCAGCTATTAATCTGTTTCTCCTCTTTGCTGGATGGTGCCCTTCTTACTTAGCAAATAGATCTGTTTTGTTTCACTTTGGCTTTGCATTTCCCTAATCACTTTTGGGGAGGAGCTGTCAATAGAAGAGCCCAGGAAATGGCCCAAGGTCTAGAGGCTATAGAGATGGAAAACTCAGATGGGAAAGAGCTCGTTTCTGGAAAAGAGCCCACACATTTTGAAGCACTTGAGCCACCAACGTGCTTATTCACAACTTGCATTTTCCTGAGCAGTGGAAGCTCTAAAGAGAATCCGGTCTCTCACTCAATTTCATTGTGTAGGTGGCTTATCCAGGGGATGAAGATGGAAAATAAAACATTCAGGAGCTTCACAGAGACCTCTTAAAAATATTTAGGGAGTCACCTCAGTGATGTTCATCTTGACTGTTGAATGCACAATCTAAATTCGGAAAGCAAGTTTTATCCTGTGATGATCCTTGGCCAGAGGCTGCTTGATACACAGAGACGAGCAAATGCTTTTGCAAGCTAACAAACCCACACTTGCCACTGGCTATGGTTGGACCATGCTTTTGAGTCCGCATTCTCCACTGAAGACAACTGCCCCATAGCTCTGACCTACAGGCTATGAGCCTGAGCTTAAGGAACATTGGAAGGAAGAAATATTGCCACACTGTTTGACACAAACAGTTACTACTGAAAATGAAGTCCTCGTCTTACTTTCTTTTTTTTTTTTTTTTTAAAGATTTTTATTTATTTATTTGACAGAGAGAGATCACAAGCAGACAAAGAGGCAGGCAGAGAGAGAGAGAGGGAAGCAGGCTCCCCGCTGAGCAGAGCCCAATGTGGGACTCAATCCCAGGACCCTGAGATCATGACCTGAGCCAAAGGCAGTGGCTTAACCCACTGAGCCACCCAGGCGCCCCTCGTCTTACTTTCTAAATATCCTACTGTGGTCAGTCTGGGGATGAGAGATCCAAATGGTTTGGAGTAGGGTCTCTTATTTGCCCTTCCATAGATTTTTTTTTAGGTCTCTTGACCATATCAGACCTATTCAATATGTCCATTCCTGACCCCACATGATTCAGGAAAGTGACCCCTCTCTCCTTGACATCATTGCTTCTAGCTCTCTAATGACCTCTTAACCACCTGGGAGCTACAAATGAAGCTTGCATTATGCCTAGTAAAATGCAGAAATAAAAGAGGAGGCCATGTGGCCCTAAGTTCCTCTCTTTCTACTGTGGAAAAATGTTCCCTTTTGGAGAAACAAGATCTTGACCCATGATCTTGCCACAGATGTGCTCCATGGTAACTTGAGGGAGGAAGAGTCTTACTCAAAATCAAGTATGAGAAGAAGGAAGAAAAAGCCTTGGGAGCCAGGCAGACCAGGATTCATTCCCCGTGCTTGTTAGTTGGGGCCATGAGCAAATTATTTCTCCCATCTGAACCTGTTTCCTTATGGCATTGGAATAACCCACTAATCCAGCTGAGTTTGTGCAACAGAGAGCATGTAAAACCAGTGACTTGAGTTGGCTCCTGGGTCACCTAATCCATCCCTCCAATGTTACAGAGAAGAAAGCAGAGGACAGAGACCCAAGGTGACTTGACCAAGTCCCACAGCTTAACAGCCACAGAGCCAGGATTAACTCCAGGAAGACCACAACTAGAGGCATAAGGTCTCCTCCAAGATTTCACTAGGAAGTGGAGACAGAAATGGAATTTTACCACTAGTCATGCCAGCGTTTATCTCTTTCCCTTCCTCCCCTCCACCACTCTGTCCCAGAGAAGCGTGGAAACTCCTTCTGGATTTTTCCAAGAAAATTCCCTGGGCAAGCACCCAGGATAGGTACCTCTGCAGATCCTTCTGGCCTGAGAGAGCCTGAGGTCAACCAATGTGCCACAGTTTCTAGGAAGCTTCCCCTTAAGACTGAATCCACATTAAGCCATAAGATGCCAGGTTCTGATCATTTATTATCAATGAGAACATCAGCTAGCCTGTTTGGAAAATAAGTCAAGTTTGGAAGTCCTGTTTGGAAAACACAGAAGTCAAGTGTTTCTATCACAAATACTGTCTGATGCAAGCTACAGTGAAGTGTGGGATCTTGAGGTGTAATAGCTAGATCTGTGGTCCCAAGTGTCACTGCTCCTACCTGTGGCCTGTGCAGAAGGAGGCAGTGCCAAAGGGTTTAACCACAAGCAGCTCCTCCTGCAGCCTTATGAGAGGGCCGTCAGTGACAGGTGCAGGAGACCTCGCGGTCCTTACAGAATTCTAGGTCCTTAATGCTGGATATCTTCCTCTTTCTATAAATGGGGAAACTGAATCTCCAAGAAGTAAAATGATTTACCCACAGTCACACAGCTTGTGAAAACTTTCCATGACACCTTCTGCTTCCTTTCATGAAAACAACAAAATTTCCAAGGGTCTTCCGTTTCCTCTTCTAGTCCTCTGCAAAAGTTACATATGTTTGAATCCAAAACAGGAGATATCAGCCAGAGGAGTCAGGAATATTGAGCAATGGAGGTGTGTGGGGAGAATGTGCAGAGATAATTTGCACCCCCAACTGAATTTCTTTTCTACCTACAAAAAGCAAAGTAGAGCATCGGCTGTAGACTTCATTCAAAGAACTGCATCTCTTTTAACTTGGCTGTTTCCAGATAAATGCTGAGGACATAGATGTTTGGTTTGAATTCTTTAGAGCTCCAAAATTTGGCATCACAAATCCACTTATCACTCAAAGTGGGAGAATCTGCTGTCAGCACAGACAAAAGCAATACCTGACATGACCCACATGCATCTGTACACATCTGATAAAGGCAGGCTGGCGACTACGCTGCCTTTAGAGATGTAATTGTAACCTAGTTTCTTAGAAACCTACTAGCATAGATTTCAAACCTCGGAATTCAAGCGGGTCCCGAATGCTTAGTGTTCCTGAGTCAGGTAGAGAGATGCTGTGCGGCCAGAATTGTGATTTGCCCCGGACATGCAGGGCCAACCAGCTCCTTCACCCATCCAAGGCTCCCCCAGGGTGAAATTCAAGTTCAACGAACATTTACTGAGCACCTGCTATGTTAGACCTTTAGACAAAAAAGAAATGAATGAGGGAGCTCCCCTGCTTACAGACAATGGGAGAGGGAGACCAAGCACCGAGAACTGTGGAGCAAGGTGTGAGGTGTCATCTGAGAGTGTGAACAGGGCAGTGATACGATAAGAGGGAGGAGGGGAAAGCCACAGGCTGCTTCGTTTTTCCCTGGTATGAGCTTTTGTTTTCTCTTTATTAAGTTTTGTAGACCATCTGATGCCCCCTAGCTGCTAATGTAACTGCAGAGTTTTGCAAAAGTAACTCGAAGGTGTATTACTATTCCAACGGTTGACAGCTAGGTTTCACTGGGAGGAGACATTGGGGTGGGGGAATGGAGAGAAAGAGAGTTCTACCACCCCCTTCCCCGTCTCCACACTGTATGTACCGTATACCTGAGGGAGAGAATTTGTGCATTCTAGAAGATAAATAGACTTCCTTCCCTTCTCAGGTAATAACTGCAATTTTGCTCTCCCGAAGTTTACATCCAAGCCCATGCAAAAACAAAACTATTAGACTTGTCATCGGCATGCTAACAGATCATGTCTACCCTCTTTCTCTTTTTTTTTTTTCCTTCCAGAGCTGAAGTTGTAATAAATGGCTCCTCGTCGCCAGCTGTTGTTGACAGAAGTAATGAAAGCATTAAGCACAACATCCAGCCAGCCTCGGCCAAATGGAGGCACAACCAGACGCTCTCTCTGAGGATCAGGTAGTGGTAATTACCTATAGGACAAGAGAGAGCCTTGGCCTTCTTCGGCACAAGCCGGCAAATTGCCGCTCTCCATCATCTAAAGAAGTCAGGAAAGAAATAAAATGTTTACCTCCCGCTGAGCCAGGTTTCATCCGTAAGCAATCAATCGGAAATAAAAACCCGAGACAACCCCAACAGCCCAACACGTGTGTGCAGTGACTAGGACTGGGGAGGTGGCAGGAGCTCCCTGCTGAGGTCCTGGATTCTGGAAGGAGTGAGGCTCTCGGGTCAGCAACAGCAGGAGCCTGAGTGGTGGAGACCACAGGTGGCTTCTCCCAGGCTATCCAAAGCAAGAGTCCTTCTCTGGCACTTGCGCCACCGTCTGTGGGTGACCCAGGAGCTGACGTAAAGAGGAGAGGTGTGCTTAGCCAGAGAGGAGCTCTTGTCCTGAGCTTCTAGGATGATGTCTCAGAGCTCCACAGTCACTGCTGGGTGGCAGGGATGGAGAGCTGTAAAGAAGGAAATACAGCATCAACATTTTGAGTACTTGACATTGATATAGCCATGACTGACCCACCCAAGCTTGGTCAGTAGAACCCTGGCATCGTGCTGGGGGCCCGAGGTGCTAACATAAAGCAGACATGCTAGTGGAGAGACACAGATATAAGACAGGACAGCGCCATGTGACACACACATTAGGTGGTGTTGCATCGCATGAATCAGTGGAAATGCAGAGGAGAGAAAAAGGGGATGAAGCAGGAGATCCAGAAAAGGAGCAGTGGGCTTAGAAAGGTAATTAGGAGTTTGACAGGCATGCCAAGCTTCATCCCACTTGTGCGCAGCCTGGCATCCAGTGTCCGTGCCCTGTGCTGCTGGGGCACGAAGTAGGAGGTACAGAATGTGGGTGGGGAGGTTGGCGAGGTAGCCTGGACCAGATGGAGAAAGCCTGGACTATGGCGGCCAACCTTCGCTGGCCTTCCACCTGGGGAGGGAGAGCAGGGGGCCCAGAGCTACCAGGTGTCCCCACAAGGAGCAGGGAGGTGCCCCCTCCAGGGAGGCTCCCTGTCAGAATGGAAATGCCCCACCCCCTAGTCCAAGGCTTCATTGGGGACATGAGGGGGAATGGGGGTGGGAGCTAGAGACACATGAGACCCGGGACCCAGCAGCTGAGAAGCCACCTGAAGGAACCGACTCCTGGCACCACAGTTCTGCCACCCTCACCAGTGCCCCTTCTGAGGCCCCCTGGGCGGACCAGATACAGGCCTTTATCACTCGCCCTTGGATCAGCAGCACTCTTGGATCCATCCGTGAGATCATGTACAATAGTCTCCCAGGGTTGGGTTGCTCTTAGCCAATTCCCACCCACTTGGTGGCTTAGGACAACAGAAATATATTCTCTTCCAGCTCTGGGGCCGGAGTTCCAAGTGCTCCCTCTGCGTGGCGGGGGAAGGGGTGTGCAGGGGGGAGGGGGGATGTTTCAGCCCTTCCTCAGCCCTGTGGCCTCATCTCTCCAATCCCTGTCCCCATCTCTTCTGTGTCTGGGGGGTTCCCTCTCCCGCCTCTTGTAAGGACACTTGTCATTGGCTTCGGGGCCCACCAGGTAATCCAGGACCATCTCAAGAGCTTTAGTTTCATTACGTTCTCAAAGGTGCTATTTCCAAATAAAGCCACATCATGGGTTCTGAGGGTTAGGAAGTAGACATATATCTGGTGGGGGGAGCACCCCACCACACCATCTGTGAGTGAAATCCTCCCACCAGCACAAGCCCACCTGCATACCCCTGGCCTTTCCTCTGCCACTGGGTAGAAAGATGGACACTTAACACACACACACACACACACACACACACACACACACACATATACTTTCAGAGGGGACCAGACCATGGCAGCCTACAAACACAGCCACACTGGCAAGAACAATGTGCCTTCACCCAGGGGGAAAAAGAATTTCCTTCAACTCCCTTCAATTAATCACCCAAATTATTATTAATAAAAGATGCTGTGAGTGATTCGGAATGATGTTTAATAATTGATAGTAATTTCTCATAATTAGGTATAAATCAATCCACTCACAGAGGTGTTTATTTTATGGACTTTCTAGGAACTCTCTTTACTTTTAAATACTTTGGGGTAAGTGATTGCAGAGGTTTTAGCAATCTCCATGCTGTATCAGTTTGTCAAGTTGTAGAATCCTTGGTAAAGGGCAGTAAATAAATATAATGCTTCTTTTCCCATCAAGAGATACAAATTATTCAGCCAGGAGTGTCTCCCCTGCGTGATGGCAAGAGATCCAGGTCATTAATAAGACTAGTGGAAGAAGAACTTCTTCCAGTGTGCCCTGCCAAGCATTCTAGCCACCCCTTGGCTACGCCAGAGGCTCCCAAATCCAGCCACATGTTAAAGCTCCCTGCTGAGCGTTAGGAAGCACGCAGAGCCTGAACCACTCTCAAAGTCAGGATTTCTCAGGTTTGAGCCCAAAGCTTCCTAATTCTTTATAGTTCCCTGGGGGCTTGAATGGGCATGCTGCTGGGACACACCGCTGGTGACCAACATCTCCAATCCTACAGGCTCTCAGGCATCAACGTTACCATCTGCACAATGCGGCAACTGTCTTGCAAATTCTCACATTTGCAAAGTGCAGGAAGAAGTTTTGTCCTGTCAGGGCTCTGCGGAAAAGAAGATTGGCATCATTGTATCTATGCTCGAAAGGGGCTTGCAGCAGGAAATGAATGACTTAAATCATTTCTAAAGATGTTTTAGGAGATTCAGACAGTAAACACCTCCACCCCAGCTAGAATCCCCCAGCTAGGTCTGAGTGGTTTAAGTAAATCTCCCCAGGCGATTCTGAGAAGACACCCATCCTTTTTCTGACCACACTCCATTCCAGCTGTGTACTTTGCTAGATGATTCTAGAACATTCCCCCTAAATCAAAGTCATCCTGGAGACTAGGGAGCTGTCCTTTGCTCACCTTTGTTCTGAAACAGCACAAAGGAATTTCTCTGAGGGACCAGAGGAGGATCAATTTTTATAAACTCGAACTAGATAGCAGTGGGGGACAGAGCAGCACAGTCCACGGAATGGACCAACTCAGGGATGGCAGGCCACGTTCTCAGTCTCTCAAAGGTAGAGGAGTTGACACACCTCACAGTATCTACACTCCCATTCACGCCATGGGATATCCCCTCTCCTAGAGAAGATTTTTGTGGAAGAAAATAGACCGCTGAGGAGTGAGGGACATGTGTCATCCTGGCTTCCTAATCCTGGCTCAGGACCCCCTATCAGAAGCTGGCCCCGAATCCCACTGAGAGGGAGTGTGATATCTGGAGATACTGGAAGTGTCCAAAACCGGGGTTCCCTGGGACATTGGATTTCAATGCTAAAAGCAGGCTGTCCTGGGCAAACCAGAATGGTGGGACACCCTTCCTCCCAGGGCCTTATGTGGTGAGCTCTTACTATGTCCTAATAGAGTCATCTCCCTGGGCAGTTACCACCTCTCAGAGGAAGAGGCCATAACCACAAAAACCAGACCGGTCCTCACCATAGTTGCCTCTGGGCCATTTCTGATACTCCCCACCTAGAATGCATTCTCAGAGGGCACCCGAACTCAGCTTCGCCTGTGTGCTGGCTGTGTCAGGCCACGGGGGGACAGAGGACAGGAAAAGCTGGGTTGACAAAGGGCAGCTGGCCACAGGGAAACTTGTTCCTCATGTGTGTCTGGTTTCTGTAGGAAGCAAATCTTGAAGTTCTTGGATGCTGAAAAGGACATCTCTGTCCTCAAGGGGACCCTGAAGCCTGGAGACATCATTCATTACATCTTTGACCGTGACAGCACAATGAACGTGTCCCAGAACCTCTACGATCTCCTCCCCAGAACCTCTCCCCTGAAGAACAAACACTTCGGGACTTGTGCCATTGTGGGCAACTCGGGGGTCTTGCTGAACAGCGGCTGCGGGCAGGAGATCGACACACACAGCTTTGTCATCAGGTAACCACAGCAGGGGCTCTGGGCCCAAAGCGACAGGCAGGTTTAAGTGGTGCACGGGCAGTTATCCCAAGAGGTTGAAATGAGAGACTATGCTTGGGTTAGTCCCCATTCTCACCTTTATGCATGAGAATTTCTTGAGGCACCTTTAAAAGTCCCAGTGTCCAAACTGCACCCCAGACTGATTAGGTCAGTCTGAGGGGTCAGCAGGATGTAGCCGAGGAAACCCAAATGGTCTGGTGTACCGTCAAGGTTGAGAATCCCTAACCTGGCACAGAGGTAGGCAGACTACGGCCAACAGCCTGTTTTTAATCAATAAAGTTTTATTGGAACACAGTCATGCCCATTCATTTTCATATCCTCAATGGCTAAATTAGTTGGGCAGAGTTGAAGTGTAGCAACAGAGAGAGCATATGCCAGAATCCGAAAATAGTACCTAGCCCTTTATGGAAAAAGTCTGCCGACCCCTAGATAAAGCCTAGGCCAGCCAGTTGTCAGTTCAAGTTTGCAAACCTCATACAAGTGTTCTCGAAGGCAGTGCTCTGCTAGTGACTATTATCCTGTAGTCAAAATCTGGGAAGTGAGCGGGTGGCAGAGAAACTTGGACTTGACCATCATTCTCCCTGAAATGTCAGCTCTCATTGTTCTGTCTCTTGGGACCCAATTGGACTCAGTTACCCATGGCCCTGATACCTGACCCCCAACCCAGATGGACTGGGAACAAGGCTTTGCTGTCCCTTGGTCAGAAGTAGGGCACACAGAGCCTCGAGTTTCGTCCCAAACAGTGCCCCAGCCCTGGCAGAAGGGCATACCACATCTCACATTTCCTCTGGGGCTGTCCTGATGCAAAGAGAGCCTTGTCCTGGGGCTTTGGGAAAAGACCTCAGGCCGTGGGATTAGACGCTGTGTTGACTCCTGCATCCACTGTGACAGAAGCGCCACGGCCACCTCGCAGCCAAACCTGGTTTAGCTTGGGAGCCTTTGCCAGATTGTGCCTATACCTGGTGTAGCCCAGGACTTGGCCCCCATTCTCAAAGCCCTCCTGTCTACAGACTTAGGGACTGGGGGGAATGCAAGGGGGAAGGAAGCAGGGCAGGCGTCTGATGGAAGCCAGGGCAAGGGTGAGGGTTGGGTGGCGGGGTTTAAAGGTGTGAGCAGAATGTGAGAGTAGGGGGTACCAGGCCTTCCTGACTTGGGGTCACACGCATAAGCAATGCTTCTTCCTTTGCCACAAGCTTCAGTGGTGAGGTCTGCATGGCCCACCCAGCCCTGCCCTGGCAATTCAGGACAAAATTACAAAGGCGCACTGCATACAGAACCCGCATGATGCCAGGTGGCAGCCCTGGCTGCCGTCAGGGACCCCCTGGGCTCTTCTTCCTTAGGGAGACCACCCACTTTCCCTCTGGGGGATCCTATAGGTCACAGCCCCCACCGAGAGGAAATGCGGTGAGCTGCTGTGGCCACAGCCTGAGTTGGCATATGTGTGTCTAGATGGTGTCGCCCACAATAGAGCACACTGAGAGTTCATTCCCTGCCCTGCCTTCCCCTGAGGTGCGGGGAGGGAGGCCACCCCACAATTCCACACCACCTCTCCTGTAGCATTTGCTTCTCTGAATGAGAACTCTCCAGGAACCCTGTGTCTCCACTCCACCCACCCCATGCTGACCATGAGCTCCCCCAAAGCAAGATGCTCCTGTCCATCTCTGGGCACCAGTCCAAGCCTGAGCCTGGCAGACAGGGGACTCTGAGCTCGGGCTCCAGGCTCTGTGAGATAAGAGACACCAGGAGGGTCCTGATGGGATGTTCTCGGTCTCTGTCAACCAAAGTCTTCCACCACTTTGCCTTGCTCTGTGGTAATGGGGCCTCTCCCCTGCCTGGGAGAACCCAGGACCTTACGCCTCTCAGAAGCTCCACACTGAAAAGGCCTGCATGCAAAATGCAGTGAGCTTGCAAAACGTTCTGCATTCCTGAGGGGAGTTCAGGTCAGGCTTCTGGAAGAAGCAGACGTTAGCAAATGAAAAACTTGAGCAGGAGGAAGCAGCAGGAGGAAAGGCATGGAAGCAAGAGACTAGATTCATGGATGGTGGAGGCTGGGGCTTGACTGAGCCCGGGCTGCCCACCTAAAGTGCTGCTGGGAATTGGGGCCGGACAGGAGTGCTGGTCCCTGCAGTGTCCCCATGAGGCTGCAGTGGCAGGCAGAGGGGACTGCCTAACTCGGAGTCATTTAGTACAGAATAAATTCCCAGATGTTTGGGAATCAAAACTTCATTGCATGCTCTCTCTCTCTCTCTCTCTCACACACACACACACACAGACCACACAGACACACACACTCACCTTCAATAGAGAGAACCTAATGAATGAATGCCCCCTCACAGACAAATCATCACTCTCATTGTCACGGTCATTGGGCACTTAGCATGCACCAAGTGTAATTCTAGGCACTTCATGTCAATTGACTTACGCAATTCTCACAACAACCCTATCAGGAATGTTCCATTTGGGGCTGGCTTTTGCAGGAAGGAAACTGAGGTACAGAGAGCCACAGGTCCATAGCATGCTTGGGTGGCCAGGCTCAAGCTGTGGGCCCAGGCAGTATGGCTCAGAGCCAAGCATGAGCCGCTGCTCTCTCCAGCAGATTGCCTCTCCCCCTGGACCTATGGACATGCCTGTTTCTGGAAGGGACAGACTCCTTTCCAGCCCAGAGTCATGCCCGTCAAAGCAGTGCAGCCCACCAACAGCCCCCCTAGAATTTGCTTTGGGAGACCTGGCCTGCTGTTAGAGCAAGTTTATTCCCATCCTGATTCCCCCCGACCACCCCCATAAGGAAAACTGCCCTGGGAAGGAGGGGTACAGCAAGGCAAAGCTGCCTCCATCATCCTCACTCAAGGAGTGGCCCTGAAACATGGTCATGGGCATTGCCTGGCCCTCACAGCCCTCCCCTGCCTGGAACACCTGCCATGAGCTGGGTCCCAGGTTGAATGAAGTGGGGAGCCCGCCTCAGGCTGCTCGCAGTCCCAGAGCTCCCCAGAGTCTCCAGCAGGGCACTTGGACGACACCCCAACTGACCAGTACTGTAGCTGAGCGTGCACGCGCCCGTTTTCCCTCCCTTGACCAACCTGGAAGCCTGTTGGGGGGCAGCCCCCGCTGGCCCGTGGTAGACTCAGCAGATGTGAACTGCATTGAATCCACTTCCCTTCCCCCTGCTTTCAGGACCTGGAGGTTGGCCCAGGGGAGGCCCCAGGCTCTCAGGAAGGTCTTGAAAACCTGGCTCAGCGGGGTTCAGGACAATAGGGATAATGGCACTCCATTCCTCTGAGGTCCGAGGCAAGGGCCCCTGAAGGTGTCCCAAACCATCTACCCCCTGCAGTGTGTAGCCACAGTCACATAGCAAGGCCAGGGTGGGAATGAGGATGGTGGGTATTTCAGGGGGTCTAGTCTGAGCACCTAACAGGCCTTAGAGTCAGACACATCAGAGACGGAATTCTGGGGCTTCTCTTACTCGCTCTGGGCAAGTTACATTGCACTTTCTGGCCTTGGGCTCCTCATCTGTAAAATGAGGGTGATTAACACGGAGTCAGAATAAAATGAGCTGATCTGTGTTAAAGGACTGGGGGCTGGCACACACCAGGAGCACATGGATGTTCATTTTCTTTCTGATCATCCTACTTTTCCTCCTCAAATGTTGAAGGAAGAAAAGTCCTGGTTTGCAAGGAGGGTGAGTGGTGTCTCTCTGGGTCTCATCGTTTGGCAATGACTTATGGCCCTGGTCTTCATATCTCCAGTCTCTGTTCTACAAACACTTATTCTAGTTCCTCAGACTTAATTCCACTGGTCAAAGGGCTCTTCCACCATCAGATCCTCTGTGCAGTAAGCAGCCAGGCCTCCCCTGTGGCCAGCCCAGGCCTATTAGCTTGCAGTATAGACAAGAAGTCCCAGTATGCACACCCAAGCTAGACCCATGAAGGTGGGAAGGTCCCCCACAAAGCAGGCCTCTGGTGAGATATCAGAGGTTGCCCACCCAGGGACCCTGGCTAGTTCAGCACAAGATTGCAATGGCCTTTTAGTTGTCCTCCCAGACCCAATTCTATCCAATCCAATACCTACTACAATTTCGTCTTATTGCCTACCTGTTACCTAAAATGCAAATTTGCCGTGTTACTCTCCTGCTCAAGAATCTTCTGTGGCTCCCTTTTGTCCTTGGAACCACATGCCCAACATATACGCTCTGTTTACCTCTCCAGCTTTGTCTCCTCCACACAATATGTCCCAGGCAGAGTGAATTATTTGCCTCCCCCTAAATCCCCATACTCTTTGGCACCTCTACACCCTTAGATACATTACTTGTGCTTATAATGCCAAAACACAATGTTCCCTAAACTGCCTGGTCATAAGAATCACCTGATGGGCTTATAAAAATAACTACCAGTTCCTCTGCTCACCTGCTGAATCTGGGTCCCCAGGCGAGAGACCCGGTGAATCTGTATTTTTAACTACCACCTGAGGTGATTGCTTTGCTCTGACAAGCTAGAGAAACACTCTTCTAATTGCCTCATCCACAAAGGGATTAGTTCTCCTCCATCCATCCAGATGTCCCTCAGTGGTCACCGCCTCTGAGAATACCATCTAATGCTCCTCCTTCCCGTAGTAACGTGAGACTAGATCACATTGAGATCTTAGTGTGGTCCAGCAGTGTTCTGAGTACTGGGTATGTGCTGACTCCTTTAATCCCTGGGAGGGGGTGCTCTTGGGATCTCCATCACAGCTAAAGACACCACCGTGCATATTCCTTAGCTGTAGGGAAGCTCTTGGGAAGCTCAGAGAGGTTGAGGAGTTTGCCTAGAATCACACAGGTAGAAAGTAGCAGAGCGAATTCTGAACCTGGGAGTGTGCCTTCAGAGCCCTGGCTGTTACCTAACGTGGCCAGGTAGCACCTGCTTGTAGCGCCAGGTAGCATGGCCGTCTTGTGGGTTGAGGGCTGGCTTAGTTGCCCCCTTCCTGCTCCACTAGATCTGGAACTCCAGAAGGCACACACTGTACAGCCCCAGGGGCCAGCGTCTATGTGGTAAGAGCCTAGTAAATACGGGAAGCAGGGATGATCGGGGGGTGGCGTGCTGGAAGATGAGGAGGAGGGGACGGGAGGTAGAGGTTGGATGAAATGAAATGTAGGCAGCAGCGTCTCATCTTTCCCCAAAGGACCGTGACGCCTTTCTCTCTGGCAGGTGCAACCTGGCCCCGGTGCAGGAGTACGCGCGGGACGTGGGGCTCAAGACCGACCTGGTGACCATGAACCCCTCCGTCATCCAACGGGCCTTTGAGGACTTGGTCAACGCCACGTGGCGGGAGAAGCTGCTCCAGCGGCTGCACAGTCTCAACGGCAGCATCCTGTGGATTCCCGCCTTCATGGCCAGGGGCGGCAAGGAGCGCGTTGAGTGGGTCAACGAGCTCATCCTGAAGCACCGCGTCAACGTGCGTACTGCGTACCCCTCTCTGCGCCTGCTGCACGCCGTCCGCGGGTGAGCGGCCTCTCCACGGGGTGGGCAGGGGACCGGCGCGGAGCCTGGGCGGGGCTTGGTGGGCGATATTCCCCGCCCAGACGCATTTGCATCCCAGCTTACCACGCGTGAGTTCTATGACCTCGGCATCGGCCTGGTCTTCCTGCACGTCCCTTCCTGGAGACAGGAGCTGGGGCTTGTAAATGGGTTTCTTCCGGCACACCCGGTTTGACCAATCCGTAGTGCCCGCCCGGAGAGCTGGGTTGAGAATGGTCCTCCCATCCGGGCTGCGTAGGGAGTAAACCATGAGGGGCAAGGATGGAAAGAGGAAAATGGGCTGGAAGCTCTTGCAATGGTCTGCGTCCTGACTGCTTGTGGCCAAGACTGGGGTCATGGTAGCAGATAGGCAACGGGTCGCTCAGATTAGCTGGAAACTTTGGCGTAGGGGCAGCAGGATTTGTTGGTGGGTTCTATTTGAGGATCTCGAGGAGGGAGAGAAAGAGAAGAATCCAGAATGGCTGTTAGGATTAGAGCTTGAGGGGTGTCTGGGTGGCTCAGTGGGTTAAACCTCTGCCTTCCGCTCAGGTCATGGTTTTAGGGTCTTGGGATCGAGCCCTGTGTGGGGCTCTCTTTTCAGGAGTCACTCGCCCCTCTCTCTCTGCCTGACTCCCTGCTTACTTGTGATCTCTCTCTATCAAATAAATAAATAAGATCTTTAAAAAAATATTTTTAAAAAAAGAATTAGTGCTTGAGAGTATGGGTGGACAGTGGTGCCATTTTCTGTGAGAGGAGAGCCCATGCGCATTTGGGGGTATTAAGTTTGGACATATTAAGTTTGAGATGCCTGTTACAAATACGCCTGTCCACACTCCTGAGCTTGCAGCTTGGGATCAAGCCCTGTACCCACCTCACCCAAACACGTGGCACTTCACCGTCCTGCTCCAGTGGCACAAGTGAGCGCATTGTACAGACCCATGTTGATATTGAAATGCTCTTTCCTGGGGCCCAAGCATAACTCAGTGTGGCCCCCAGAAAGCTCTCTGTCCAACCCTCATAGATTCTTGCTGTTCTCACAACGGTGACCCCCGAGACCCCCAAGCCTGTGACGAGCCCTGATCTGATTAGGCTGTGTTGCCAGCACGGATAACCCATTACCCCCAAGAAAAACCGAGCGAAACATTCAGGAAGAGGTGGCTACGCTTGTGGCTGACGGAGCAGAGTGACACCTGATGGACAGAGGGCTCACTGGGGCCACATTCCTTATCCTGGAGGTTGACCTGTGAGGTCTTCCTTAAACATCTACCTCCTCCCTGTCTCAGCAACCCCCCCATCTCATGGAGTCTAGGCTCCATGCCTCATATGTTGTCTCTGCCTGGAAGGAGGAAAGGTTTGGGGGTCAGAGGAGATGCAAGAAGGGGAAGGACTCGCTCATGGTAAAGAGAAATAGTCCCTCAGACAGGGAATGGGCTACTACCTATAAGAAATGTTTACAGCCAGAGCTATTTCCAGCTATAACTGACTCACTTTCATCTGTCAAAATAGCATTAAGCACCAGTAATAAGCCCTTTAAACAAACAGACTGTTAATCCTGGGATGGCAACATCTTCCCTTGCAGGAACTCCCTGGAGGAAATATTGCAGGAGAGAACGGGGCTGGTTTTTGCTTTTAGCAAGGGGAAGAGTTGGCAGGGAAGAGGGCTTCAGGGGCCTCAGAATGGATTTCTGCCAATGGCCCTCTCCCTCTACAAGGTGTGGGTCCGGTCGGACATTACTGGAAAGGTGGGTAGTGTCTGTAGCGAGAGCAAGGGCTTGCCCAGACAAGGCGCGAACTTACCCTGTGGTTTGCCTCAAGAGGAAGAATGGGCTGAAGGGATGGGGGAGGCAGAACAAAGCCACAGGAGAAAAGACTGAGGGTTCATAGAAAAGATGGCTGAAGAGGAAACTGGCCCAGAGGCAGTCTGGTCTAGCATGAGAACCATAGGCTTTGGAGTAGGGACACCTGGGTTCAAATTCCACCTCCATTACTCAGGTGGTGGAACAGGTCCATTACCTCCCTGAGCCCTGCTTTTCTCTGTCTCTCACTTTTCTCTGTCTCTTGCCTACATCCGAATGTGTGGTCTGAGCTGGCCAAGGAAGACACACAGTCAGTCAGTCATCCCTATGGCCACCAATCACCCAGCAAGGGATTGGACTTGCCCTATAGACTTCAGAGGTAGAAGTAGGACCAGAGGGTGAAACCACAGGGAGGAGGGTATATTTAGGCTCAATTGGATAAAGGATTCTGTAGAAGAGTGGACAAAAGTTAGATTCACCTGTCAGGATGTCTTCACCTCAGAGTTCCAATGTAGACTGTAGTTTACAGAAAAATCTTGTTTCCATACTTAAAAATCTATTGTTCAATAAACACTCTCTTTATGAAGTGGAGGATATAAACATTTTTATTGCGGTAAAATAGACACAACATAAAATTTACTACTTTAACCATTGTTAACTGTGCAGCTCAGTAGTTAAGTATATTCCCAGTATTGTGAAACAAATCTCCAGAACTTCATCTTGCACATCTGAAACTCTATACCCATTAAATAACAAGTCCCCTTTTCCCCAACCCTCCCTCCCTCCATCCCCTGATACAGTAACCTTTCTACTTCGGTTTCCATGAATTTGGCTACTTTAGATACCTCATTCAAGGAGATTGCTACTGCACTTGCCTTTCTGTGACTGACGGATTCCACTTAACATGTCGTCCTCAGGGTCCATCCTTGCCATAGCCTGTGTCAGAATGGCCTTCCTTTTGAAGACCGGATAATATTCTGTTGTATGTGTGCGCCAGATTTTGTTTGTCCGTCCATCCATGGCTGGACATTTGGGTTTCTTTCACCTCTTGACTGTTGTGAATAGTGCTGCTGTCAACATGTGTGAGCAGATAGCTCTTCGAGACTCTGCTTTCCATGGCTGGATCATACAGTCGTCCTGTTTTTAATTTTTTGAAGAACATCCATCCCGCCTTCCATGGTGTCTGCACCATGTTGCGATCCACTAGCAGCACACGAGGGATTCAGTTTCTCCACATTTTCCCCCACACCTGCTATTCCATTTCACCACATCTTTGCCAACTTGTGATTCGGTAGTAACCCATCTTGACCACTTTCAAGTGCGCCATTCGATTAGAAGTAATTGGCTGTTAGAGGAAAATGTAGCAGAAAATCTTTATGATCTTGGGTCTAGCAATGGTTCCTTAAGTATCACACCAAAAACACAGGAAATGAAAGAAAAAAGGAGATAAAAGGGACTTCATTAAACTAAAACTTTTCATGCACCAAAAAGCCAATCTAGTATGGCGGGGCGGGGGGGGGGACCTACCCATAGAATGGGGGGAAATAGTTGCAAATCATGTATCTGATAAGGGATTAATATCCGGAGTATATGTTGAGTACAACTCAACAACACCATAAATAATCAAACAACCTAATTTTTTACAAGGGCAGAGGACTTGGATGGACTTTTTTTCCAGAGAAGATATACAGATGGCCAATAAGCACATGAAAAGATGCTCAACATCACTCATAATTGGGAAATTGTAAATCAAAACCTCAGCGAGTTACCACTTCCCACCCGCTGGGATGGATGCTATCAAAATGTGGGAAATAACACACGTCAGTGAGGATGTGAGGAAATCAGAACCCTTGTGCCTGCTGGTGGGAATGTCAAGTGGGAATCACCTTTGAGGCATCTTAATATGTAATTCTGCAAAGGAGGAAGTTGACGCCCAGATGAGTTGGGTGATGAGTAGGAAGCCACCGAGCCAGTAAGGGGCACAACCAGGAACTGAAGCACAGCACCCAACTCTAGCCAGGACACCAGAGGCAGCAAATTCAAACCCAGCCAGTTCTGGATTTGGGGCCCCCATCAGCTCAGTGGGGTAGGTGCTGTCACACCAAAGAAGTGGTGTGAGGAGACCACACAGCAGCATATCACGTCTCCCTGGGTGCATGGCAGTTCTTCTGAGTCTGGGACAGTGTTCCCACCAGGCAGAACAAGCTGAAAGGTCAGAACACCTCAGGGTCCCATCAAACACCCTCTGGCATCTGAGGCTTGACACAGTCTTGTGGAACCCCCCATTGAGGCTCTCAGTGTTGTTTACCCCTTGACGTTGCCTTGGCCTTTGCCTCCCTCATTTGCTTGACTGCTCCTTCACAGCCAAGCCATCTTTCCAAAGGAAAGCTGCCATCCTCAGATATCAGCTGTGTGTCCACTCACTCTGAATGCAGCTGGGTGGCTTGACATGCCCAAACATGTCCACATACAAGTCATTGTGCTCCTAGAACCGGTTTAGTGTCCCCAGTCCATCCATTCATGGGGGGGTGGGAACCATGAGATGCTCTAGTAACAGCAAATAGGCTTTTCATGAGGACCAAATGAAATCATTTACATAAATCACTTTAGAGCCCAGTGCTGGTCATATTAAGTCTGTCTAGTACTACAAGCTGGCACGTGGTAGAGCCAGGCTTCATGTGAAGGGACCACATGAACACAGTTTCCGTTCTCCTGGCTAAACAGTCTCCTCCTACACATTTGTGGTTATTAACCTACTTCTTATTATTAATTGTTCAAGTCGTCAGTGCCTTGAGGCTAGGATACTGCCACTTTGTGCTGCATTCCTCTCTCCTGCATAGTGCCTGATACTCGGAGAGCTTCTGGTGACTGGTCAGGGGGTCCCCAGTGACCTCAGATTGAAGAAGGACATGTAGGAGAATAGAGGAGGGGCACAAATAACCGTCCCTAACACGGCTATATTAGACACCATGCTAAGTATTATGTCATGTGATGAGAGAGAACTAGAACCAGCATTCTATGCTGAAGACTGCAAAGTGAGCCTCAGGTGGTAAGAAACTTGCACAAGATTGCATGGCTCGTGAGCGAGATTCAGGACTCCTCCCTTGCTCCTGATCACCACCCATTTGCTCCTGTGGCAATAACCAGGAAGTAATAACAGGGATCCTAGAAGAATAATGTCAGAAGGCC